ATCGTTTCGTGATAAAATTTATAAATGTGATATGCTCATTATCTAACTTATGATTTTTAAATTTTACATAAAACATATATATACAACATATAAAATTTTATTTACATTTGTGCATGTGCACAGAATCGAATACTAGTAAGATTAACTATCCATTACTTTCAATCACTTTTCTTTACTTTTACATCAAATAAAATGTAATTATTTTATTTTAAATCTTATTTTAATACGGACTCTAAATCACACTAAAATCTAACACAAACAATTTTTTCAAGATTAGCTCTAATTGACCAAAAAACCAATCAAAACTCAATAAATCTATAAACAAGCAAGCTCTAACAGTGTACACGTTCTTTTTAATTTTTATTTTTATTCTTTGAAATTCATTGCACACCTATTTTTTACACCATAATAAAAGTCGGCCTAGGTGCCCAACGATTAGGCGGTGCCTAGGTGGACCAGACAACGCCTATGCGGCTAGACGGTTGTGAAGGTACTCGATCTTAGTTGGGCTAGGCACATGTCTAGGACGTCTAGGCGACGGTAATTTATTTTCAATTTTTTAAAGTTACTTTTAAAAAATAAAAATATAAATTGTTACTTATGAAATTTGTATTAATTGTATACTAAAGTATTTGTAATCAAATTTTTGAACAAGAGCTCACATTTTTGTTTGTTTATTAAAATGACTATTTACAAAAGACCACATCCTATTTTGTAAACATGAGATACAAATCAACTTTAAACAGTAACCTTGATTAAATAGTCCAATCACATCCTTTTGTGTAAATGAGCTCTTAAAGTATTCCATGACAACATCATTACCTTGATTTACCTAGATATTTCTCTATGCAACTAATATTTTATAAGACTATTTTTTTCTTCATGTCTTTGACAAGTATCCTACTATATATCTTTAGATGGATCAAGACAGATAAATGATTCAATGTTATTCGACACTGGATTCAGTATCTTGGATAACACTATTCTTTTAATTTTCTTCCACCCAACATATATTTCATCACTAAAATAATATTTTGTAATATCACTATTAACAAATATCAATTTAGTTTTTTACCCAAGTGCAATAATCAACGTACGCTCTTCTGGTGAATTTTGAGCCAAATGTTAAAATTATGCCCCAAACCAATTTTTATTTTTTCTTATTTTTTTACACTAGAAAGTCTTTTCCCTCGCATAGTTAAGGGGATCGGATATGATAAAAACGGATATCCACCTTATCCGTCGTTTATTATGCTTGACAGCTCCAAGGAATAATCTGATGTAACTTATGGGACAAACAACTTTTGGGGTGATAATATTTGTCTCGGAATGGATGACATCATCAACTTCTGGAACCCTACAGCGTAGTCCTCGCGTTTCGCGGCTCCAACAAACAATTGATGATGTCATCCATTCACTGCCATCTCTATTCTCCATCTTTTTTCTTTTTCTACTCAAATCATATCAATTCTGAAGGTTCCAACACTTAAAAACCCTAGAATCACAAAGTTTTGAATCGAAAACAACAAAAATTCCATACTTTTTCAGGAAATCAATCCGTTGACAAAACAAATGAAGAAGAAAAAGGAATACGATTGGATGGGCACACTAAAAATCTATAGGAAAATGGGTTATCAACAAAATACTTGGGAGCTATGAGAAAACGTAGACTGGAACTTAAATGGAACCATAATCGTCGAGCAATAGTTTGACAATTTTGAACCCTTTTCATAGTGTCCATCCTGACAAACCTTCGTTTGTTTTTGACACTTAGTTCTTATTCCTGGTTATAAGTTCTGCATTGTCTTCTGTGATAATTTATTTAATGGAAAAAGTTATGAAAAGTTCGATGATCGATGGTTGTTCCTTTTTCATTGCTATTTTTTTCTTTTCGCGAGAACATTTTTATTTTACTATAATGCATCTAATGGAATATGTACTCAGAACCTCTATGCATACAATATCACTGAGGCCAAGCCTATGTGGTTGAGCATTGCTAGTTGTAAGTGTTCACTTTATTAAAATCCTTGCTCGGTGTAAAGCGTTCAACCAATAATTTGTATTGACTTAACTAATCTCTAGATGCAGAAAAAAAAAAGTAGAAATCAAGAAAATATATGATGCTCGTGCATTGATGGTCATTGTTGGAGACAAGAATGGGGCATTGCATGGACATGCAGTACAATGTTGCTACAATCTACTTAACATTGTACATAGATACTTGTCAATAATGTAAGTGTGTTCTATATGTGGCTACTCATTTAATTATTGTTGTTGATCGAAAGTGATCTCAATTGGGCAGTCTCTTCATTTTGTGCCCAGACTATGGACCCCTATTTATGGTGAGTTTGATGATCATATTGCCAACCCAAAACCAAGTGGCTACCAGGTCGATATTTCCATTCTGAGTTCCACTTCAAACTTTACAAATCTGTTGCTACTTACATGATATTTTTCTAATCTGAGTTCCACTTCAAACTTCAATCCTTACATGATATTTTTCTAATCTTTTGCTACATACATTTCTATCTGGAAGGACCACTAGTAGAAAAAACACTTTTCACATCGGGTGTTTACATCGGTTTTTTGAAAACCGATGCAAAAAACACTTTTCACATCAAGTGTAACATCGGTTTTACAAAAACCGATGTGAATTGTCATCAGGCGCATCGGTTCTTAGAAAACCGATGTGAATAATTGGGTAGGCAGCTTTGTTTACATCGGTTATATGTATAACCGATGTAAAAAATATAATATACAACATCGGTTTAGGAAAACCGATGTCTGGGATTGTGTATAGGCATCGGTTTCAACACAACCGATGTGTGGGCCAAAGCCTAAAATCGATATGTCCAAAAATTTGGCCCGAAAAGTGAAATGCATCAGCTTTATTTAACTGATGTAAAGTTGGCCCAAAAGTGATGCCCAAAAAATTAATTTTAAAGTCTGCCAAATCAATCTCTCTTGTCAATCTTTCTCAATACTGATTTCTCCAAAAACCCTCGCCGTCCACGCAGCTTCTCATCGTCCGTGCAACTTCACGGCCTTCTGTCGATCGCAAGCCCGGCGCACCATCACAGCCTTCTCGTCGTCGCCGCACCTTCTCCGGGCCATCCACAGTTTGTTGACCGCGAGCCTGAGTGACCTCCTTCGAGCGACCGTCGTCCGTCGACCGCCCGCCGTTGTCCGTCGACCGCCGCCTGCCGTTCTTTGGTAATACGTATATTTCCGGCGCACCTTCACGGTTTAGTTGATTTAATGAGTTGATTTCGTATGACCAAGGTTTAGTTGTGGCTAAACAGCCTTTATTGATCTCATATGATATTTACTAGGTGTGACATTATTTTGTTAATTAATTGTGAAAACCGATTGTGATTTTGTTTGTGTTGTATCACATTATATTTTTCATTGGTTTAAAAAGAAAAGGATATATTTTTTCTAGTTAATTGAGTGATTATTTATAAGATTTTGGTCAATATTAAGTTTGATATTTTGATGGTAGTACTAATATGTATGTGTTTTGTTATATGTGTTATGTTGAATATGTTTTGTATAATTGTTTTGTGAACAAAAGGATTAGCTCACTCTTGTTTTTTCTCAGAATTTTATAGTGGAGTGGAAGATAAAAAATTGTTGAAACTTGTGAAGAAAGAAGCTGTTATTTTTTTGGGATCGTTAGCATGTTGTCTGTTGGAAGTCTATTTGTAGATGAAGTTCTTGTGAGAAGTTCATATACTTGCTTAAGTTGCACCTAGTCTCTTCCCCAAGAAAATTATGTGATACGTTTGATGGTTTAACAAATTTCACTTTTAGCTGATCTTCGGACTCGTAATCTATCACCTGTAACTGCGTGTACAGAGGGGATTTCGAACTGAGCCCTAACATGAAGATCAAGGTGAGGCTCCAGGAAAGTTAACTTTTAAATAGTTTTATCTCCCTGACAGTGGATGATATATTTTGGATGAAATTAAGGTTGATTATGAATACAAATACGTTGACGATCCTGGTAGAGTTACCACCCGAACAATGGATCAGAGGGTACTGATATGGTCCTCAGGTAATCCCTATATCATTTGCTGAGTTGGATGTTGTCAAGTTCAAACCAGAGAATGGTTTGAAACTTCTAGGTTTTATGGAGGCTTCAAATGTCATGAGGTGAAAAAATATTCTTAGTGCTTTCTCAAAGAAATATTAAGATTTGTTATTTAGTTAATTCTTGTCAGAATATTGATAATTTGTGGCCATCCATCTTGTGGTTTAAGGCACTATTACATGAAAGTGTCAACATCTTCATTGTTGAACCTGAAAAAATAAAGGCAATTCATGAGGTTTAAGTATTAGCAAGAGCAATGAAGGAAATGAATAAAGTAGCTATTGTACGTTGTGTTTGGAGACGAGGGCAGATGAATGTTGTCATAGGGTTTTTAACTCCTAATATATCTGAGAAAGATAATGTTGTGAGTAATTAGAACAGAATTTGCAAGTTTATACTGCCTTTTAGTGTGCGAGTTATTGATTTGTTTTTGCTTATTTTTTCTACCCTTAAATTTGCAGCTGGATTCTTTCTATTTCAAAGTACTTCCTTTTGCGGAGGATGTGGGAGTTTCAGTTTCCATCTCTTAGCAATTTGCCTTCGACAATGCAGCCAACCGAACAACAACAAGAGGTTGCTGATAAGTTGGTCCAAATGCTTGATCTTGCTCCACCTGACAGAGAGGAAGCCTAGCAACCGAATGTCACACCAAATCCTGTTCTAGAGGTAAACTAATAATCGAATGCTACTGCAATATTGAAAAATAATTAATTCAATATTGAAGTTCTGTTCAGTTTCTTGTCTTATTAGCTGGTTGTCCAAAAGCAACTAACTTGCAGCAATTTTCTATGCTCGAGATTATATCACTTGATATTATCCACTCGTTGGAAGAGGTATGGTTTTATTAAAATCAACTTTATGTTGTATTTAAAATCATACACTTCAATTCAATATAAGTTATAGTGATAATATTTGTTGTATCATGTAGACTTTGAGCATTGATGAGCCATATTCGGACGAGGACATTGAGAATATAAAAATGCGGTGGATGAAGTACTTTCTTGAGGTTACTTCATGAGGAAATTAGACTTATCAGTTTGCTTACGTTTTATAGAACTTGAACTTTATGACAAATTATGGTTGATGACTATTGTTGGTGTAGTGCATATGTAAACTATTGTTATAACTTGAGGTTATTGAAATATTTTGGTTGTTATTAGTACTTATCTGTTGATTTGTGAGAATATTTTGAATGTATGAATGTTATTATTTTATAGTAACAGATACAATTAAATAAAACCGTTGGAAAATGTTTGATTTCACATCGGTTTTCATAATTATTGATGTCACTGTAACCATTGTTCACATCGGTTATTTTGAAAATCGATGTGAATTCGAGTAATATGACATCGGTTATTATGAAAACCAATGTTAAATGTCTTTATTTAATCGGTTTTACCAATAACCGATGTATATAAACCTTACTTACATCGGTTTTTATAATAATTGATGTTAAATGTCTTGATTTACATCAGTTTTCAAATGAACCGATGTAAAAAAGGTTTTAATAAAATCGATTTTTCATATTTTTTAGGCCTATTTTTTGTCTTATGACATCGGTTGTTGTGACAACCGATGTGAACAAGTTTTTTTTCACATCGATGTAAATAAGACAGACTTTTAACATTACCTGTTTCAACATCAGTTTCAAAATGGGGTTTTAACCGATGTGAAAGTGATTTTTAACCGATGTGAAAAGTGTTTTTTCCACTAGTGGACTAGAAACACAAGAAAAGTGACATCTCAAAATATGTCTTCAAGCTAAAATAATTGTCTTTCACTAATGTTGTGATGATTCTTCAATTTTAGAAAATGTTGAGAATATATTTCCCTCCAAGATCTTTCTAAATATTTCGAGAAAATGAGGCTTCTATTGGTGCTGACACGTTACTGAAATATAGTTCAGTAGGGCATCCATTTCGCAAAGTGCAAATATAGTTCACTTGAATGAGACTTTTGTTGGTGCAGTATCAAGGGCTAGAATTGTCATTTGGCCTATATAATAAAATTTAATCATGTCCAGGAAATGTATGACTACTTAACAAAGACCATATCCTATTTTGTAAACAAGAGATACAAATCAGCCTTAAACAATAACCTTGGTTAAATAATCCAATCACATCCTTTTTAGTAAATGAGCCCTTAAAGTATTCCATCACAACATCATTACCTTGATTCTACCTAGATATTTCTCAATGCAGTTAATATTTTATAGGACTATTTTTTTCTTAATGTCTTTACAAGTATCCTCCTATAGATCTTTAGATGGATCAACATAGATTAGTGATTCAATAATATTATTCGAGGTTAATTTAGTATCTAGGATAACAATATTCTTTAAATCTTTTTCGACCCAACATACATTTTATCACTAAAATAATGTTTTGTAATATCAGTACTAAAAAATTTCAATTTGGTTTTGTCCCAAGTGCAATAATCATCATACGCTCTTCAGGCGAATTGTGAGCTAAATGTTAAAATTATGCCCCAACCAATTTTATTTCTTATTTTTTTACACTAGAAATCCTTCGGCCTTGAATATGTAAAAGGATCGGATATGATAAACATGAATATCCGACCTTATTTATCGTTTATTATGCTTGACAGCTCCAACGATTAATCACATGTTGCTTATGGGGCCCACACACAATGTAAGTATTTGTGAAGTTTGACATTAAATTGACAAACTCCAAAATAAAGCGTGGAACCTACATAGTATACTGGAACCATAATGAAAGTTAAAGGAAAGTTTTTATTTTCTTGCTTTATTTTATTTAATTTCCTTGATTTTATTTTATTAAGATTTTGAATCAGTTTATTTTGTTTAAATGAGATCGAGAAGAAATCGACAAGATATCTTACCATATGAAGCAGCCGTACATGAAAAGAAAGAAGGATTATATATACCATGCAAGGAAGTCACAAGGCGTGTCGAATAATTACCATATGGAGCAGTAGAGAGAAATGTGAATAACTTACCATGCAGAGATGACTTGCAAAGGGGATAAGCAGCCACAAGTGCAAGAATGTGGACGTGGATAATTTTGGAAAAAAATAAGGCAAGGAGAACTTATAGTTATGAAAGAGATAAGCGACTCCTAGAAGGTCTGGAAGATTGGCGATCGGAAGATTATATTTTTCATTCTTGTTTAAAGGGAAGAGTTTTGAGAGTTGCTTATGTTAATCATTTTCGGAGATTAATTTATTCGTTTGAGTAAAGAAGAGAGTTTGTTCTCAATCTCATTGAGCATATATATACTTTGAGATAATATAGGTGTTCGGGAGGAACACCTAGGACAATACGAGGGATTCATGTTGTGAAAATCCCCAAGGAATTTGTGGTTGGGAAAGTACCAAGCAATGTCTTGCTCGTTCGCACCGAGCAATGTTCTAGATCCCAGCCGTGTAGTCCTCACGTTTTGCGGCTCCAAAAGATGATTGATGATGTCATCTATTCACTGCCATCTCTATTTCAGTCTTTTTCTTTTCCCCTCGATTCGTATCAATCCAGACACTAAAAAAAACACTAGAGTCACAAACCTTTGTATTAAAAACAATTAAATATCCAAATATTTTCTGGGCATCAATCTGTTGACAAAACAAAAAGGAAGAAAAAAGGCATACGATTGGATGGGCACACTGAAAATCGATAGAGGGGAAATGGGTTATCAACAAAATATTTTGGAGCTTTGAGAAAACACAGACTGGAGCTGCATTAGAACCATAATCGTCGAGCAATAGTTCGGAGATTTTGAACCTCTTCTTGGTATCTGTCCAGACAAACCTTTATTTGTTTTTGACACTTAGTTCTTATTCATGATTTTAAGTCCTACATTGTTTTGTTTTATGTGATAATTTATTTAACGGGAAAAGGTATGAAAATTTCAATGATCGATGGTTGTTCCTCCTTGCATTGCTACTTTCTTCTTTCAGTGAGAACATTTTTATTTTACTGTCATGAATCTAATGGGATTTGAACTCAGAACCTCTATGCATACAAGACCACTGAGGCCAAGCCTATGTGGTTGAGCATTGATAGTTTTTTTTTTTTTTTCCAAAACGGTAGATTTTATAGCTAAAAAAAAGGGAATGTACACGAACGAAGGCTAACTAGCCTTAAATAAAACCACATGGCTGACGGAAGGTACACTAAAAGTGACCTAAACAATCAACAAAAGGCTCAAGGGGGGTTTTGTTGCCTGAGATGATGACCAAGCATATGAGCTTAGGCAATCAACCCCTATCGCAACAAAATTGAAGAAAACCACTGGTCAAGGACCCTAGTTTAATTCCAGAAATGCCTCAAGAAAGGAGGCAATTGTACAAGCAAACCAAAAATAGAAAATACGACCAACAACTAAAGCAACTAACCAACTCGAAGTAAAACTAAAGTTTATCAAATTCAAGCCAATCTTTCAGACAATTTTGACCACTACTTGCTCTGTTATCCAACTTATTTGAAAAACCAAAAGGTTTCTCGTTTTCCATATCCACCATAGTAGATAAGTGTTAAAATGGAGTCTAGCTGCTGATACATTTGAAGAGGGAATGTTTCAAATGTTGATCCACCAATGCCTGAAGTTGTCTGTAAGGTGTTGTGATCCTTCCCATGTCAGAGGTGCTAATTTCCAGATCAAGGTTGCTTTGGGACAAGAGAAGAAAAGGTGTTTCACGGTTTTAGTGGCATCTCCACAGCTAAGACAACGAGGGTCTAGATGTACACCTCTTTTGGCCAAATTATCCATCACTAGCAGAGCATTATTCATACATTTCCAGATGAAACGTGTGATTTTCCTTTGAATCTTCATCTTCCAAAGCTTCTTGTACGCAGTTATGGCTTCTTTCTGATCTTTGTTGGGTTTAGCCAAGTCCAGTTGTCTCCACTTTTCATTGGCAAGGTAGTGGTAAGAATCAGCAACTGAGTGCTTGCAACCTTTCCCACAGTGCCAAACCAGTCTGTCAGGTTCCTCAGGTTGTCAGTGCTTGATTTTCACTATTGCTTCTTATTCTTGTTGGGAGAAGAGTTCTTGGAGCTAGCTCATGTTCCAGTGTATCCCTGTTTCATCAACCAGCTGTTTCACCCAAGTGACTTCAATGCTTCTGTTCATATTAATTCTTGGGATAAAGCCAGGTAAGTCAGGGATCCATGGGTGCTCAAATATCTTGATTGAGGCTCCATCCTTTATTTCATATTAATCCTTTTCTAGTTGTAAGTGTTCACTTTATTAAAATCCTTGCTTGACTGAAAGCGTTCAACCAAAAATTTGTATTGACTTAACTACTCTCCAGATGAAGAAAACAAAAAGTTGATCAAGAAAATATATGATGCTCGTGCATTGATGGTCACTGTCGGAGACAAGAATGGGGCATTGCATGGACATGCATTACAGTGTTGTTACAATCTACTTAACATTGTACACATGTACTTGTCAATAATGTAAGTGTGTTCTATATGTGGCTACTCATTTAATTATTGTTATTGATCAAAAGTGATCTCAATTGGTCAGTCTCTTCATTCTCTACCCACACTGTGGACCCCTATTTATGGTTAATTTGATTATCATATTGTCAACCCAAAACCAAGTGGCTACTAGGTTGATATTTCCGTTCTGAGTTCCACTTCAAACTTTACA